CGCCCAGCAGGCAGCCCCAGGTTTGTGTAGTGATGCCAGTCATAATTAATAATGATAATAAAGACCCCCACTTCACCACCGAACCCACGTAGGGGATGACTGAGTGATTGGAGCCATGCCTCCCACCCGCACACGGTTAGTTGGTTAGTTCGGGTCCACACCCTTCCACCACCGCGTTCTGCCAGGGGCTCCAAGGAAGGTCCGGCTCCCCACCCCTGCGGAAGACAGTGGGGAGCCCTGTGGCCTTCGGTGGAACCGCGGGGAGGGAAGGGCATGTGTGTTGGGGGGAATGGTTGTGCTTAGTCTTCAGTACTTAGTATTAGAAAACAATCAAAAGGCCCCTCTGGCCTTGATTGAGTGGGCTGGCGGCCGCCTGGCCAAGTGCAGGCCGGGCACGGTTGTCTCTCAGCTCAGACCTGGAGTGACACAGCTCCCGGGGACCCCAATGTCCACTCACCCTCCCCCCTCCCCAAAGCAGGGAAGGCCGGGACCTTGACGGGTCCCCAATTGTGTTTTCAGGGTCCCCTCACCCCCAGCTTGAGGGAGATTCCCAGGAGCCGCTGTAGGCAGCCTCGGGATGTGGGGGCGCAGGCCCGGGGGGCGGGGAGGCCGGGGAGGAGGGAGGCCGGGGGGAGGGAGGCCGGGGAGGAGGGAGGCCGGCGCCGGCGGGGAATGTCTTTATCGGGATTAGAGAGCCGCCAGGCTGCTCGTTCGCTTCTCCAAGTGATGCCTGAAAAGACACCTTCCGATCTATCCACAGGCATCTCGGCCCTTAATGGCTCGATTTATTTGGTTTAAAGCGGCCGTGGGAGACGCGGGGAGGGGAAACCTTTCGTCGGTCAATGGGTGGCCCAGATAACAAGCTTCAAGAGAGAGAGGAAAGAAGAAAGGGGGGGAAAGGTGGCTAATGGATGAGGGTGGGCTGGGGGCGCCCCGCGTGGCCCTCCCCCGGTCGCCCCGATTCACCCGCGGCGGACGCGGCGCGTGAAGTCTCCCAAACAACGCGCCCGGCGAGGCCCCCGCGGTGACCTTTCGTGCGGTGCGGAAGGCTGCGGGGCCGCCCCGGGCCATCTCGCGCTCCCGCCACCACCTGACTTTTCTAGAGCCGTTTATGCTTTTCTGAGAATTAAAAATGGAAAGGGAGGAGGGGAAGGAAAGACAGGAAAAGAAAACAGAAAATGCGGAAGAGAAGGAAAGGAGGAATGAAGGGGAAAGGAAGGAAAAAGAAAAAGGAAGAAAAAGAAAAGAAAAGGAGGGAGGGAGGAAGGAAGGAAGGAAGCTTCAGGCCGGCGAGTCAGCATTCTGGTTGCTCGCATTTGCGGCGCGGGGGAACGCGTCTCCCAGACCCCTCTCTTGAGATGGGACCTTTGGAGTGATTAGGGGACTCCAAAGTAACCTTGTGTCCTTGGGTAAAAGAGACTTCGAGACAGGAAGAAATATGGTACAAGGGAGAAGGCCTCATAAATCTGTTCTTTAAAACAACGTTCGAAACTTACAACTACGTTTTACGCCAGAAATGGTTCCTTGGGAAATGACGGTGACAATACAATGCTGTTCGGTTGCGGGGTGGGGACGTGGGGGTAAAGGTGTGCGGTGACTGGCGTTTGGGCGCCTCCGGAAGCGCCTACCGCACCGAGTTCCCCGGTACCCCTTCCGTTTGGACAGCGGAGCCCCCGCCCCTCGCCCAATTGGCTGCTGGGTCCCGGCTGGATTCGAATCGTGGGGTGGTGCGGACCAAATCAATCAGCCCTGGGGACAGGCCGCGCCCCGGAACCACCCTGTGCGAGGGTAAGGGGGAGACAGCTCCCCGGGTCTCAATAAATCCAGAGAGAAAAGGTTTCGTTCAAGATTAGCCATTCCTAGAAGAGGAGCGGGACGGGAGCGGGGTCAGGGGTGTGTGTGTGTGTGTGTGTGTGTGTGTGTGTGTGTGTGTGTGTGTGAAAAGGACTTGAAAACAAAGAGAATGAAAGAAGAAAAAAGAAAACACAAAGGGGAAAAAAGTAGGGAGATCCTAAGAGCCTGTCTACCCTGATCTCGATGGGGAGGGGGTGGTTCTAATCCAGCTCTGTTTTCCCCCTAGTTTGGGGGGTGTCTCTCTCCTTAGCACCCCAGACCTGCTAGCTTGTGAGCCAGCTGAGAGCGCAGAGGAAGCACGCAGGGCCTAGGGACCAGGGGGTGTTTTAAAAAACAACAACAACAACTTGCCGCTGTCTCTTGGGGGTGTCGGCCCCCCCATGCCAGAGTCCACGAGTCGGACCCAAGCAATTCGGAGGCATAGGTAGCCTGATTTCTGTCTTAATTAACGGTACATGTGAAACAGTTTTGTTTTATTCTAACTTAGCTAACAAGAACAACGTTTCTCCATTGCCACATTTAGTGGGGACAAAAAAAACAATCTAAAAATAAATATAAAATAGAAAGTATAATGTGTGGCACTGGACAGGGACGGTGACCTATTTCGTTTTGGGGCACTGTCACAGTGAGTTGAGAGTCTGCAGGGTAAAATGAGGGGGTCCCTTGCCCAACCCATAGAGCCCGAGTACTGTCGACCCAGTCGCTCACCTCTGTCCCAGCGGCGCTAGGGTCAGTGGGCCCTGGCAAAGCGGCTGTCCAGCGTCGAGAAAGGCAGGCCAGTGCGGGCGAGGGGTTGACTCAGGAAAGTCACTCGTACACCCTCGTATTTGAAAAAAAAATTACACACACACGCACACACACACCCGCAGGACTGAAAGCAAGCTCCCGCCAGGGCTCGATCTTCCAAGGGCTGAAGTTTAAAGGCCGAACACAGCCTGGACACACATAATCAGTGTTATTTATGATTCTTATTTTTTAATTCCTCTAGCGAATACAAACTTCTAATTTTTTTTCTTTTTTGTAGCAAAATCAAGAAACCTTTCCAACCAACTGGACTGAAAGAAAAGGAAATACACACAACCCAGAACGTGACTGCTTACGAATGAGCTTGGGGAATTCAGTCCACTTAACAATGTGGCCACAATTTACCAAAGCACCCCCTTCCCCTCCCCAAAATAAGCAAGACATTTGAAGTCAGGGTGGGACTTGCAGGGCGGGCCAACTGCAGCTACCTCTTCTGGCTGTGGCATTTCGATCGAACGAACTCAGGTTAAAATTTAAAACCTCTGGATCCGGCTCCAGTCTCTAGTGTCTCCATTCCAGAGTTTTCCTCCTTTCAGCCTTTAGGGAAAATGCAGCCACGTAGAAGTTGAGAGTCCCCCGCAGTGGTGGTGGGGGGGAAGGAGTAATGTAATATTAATTAAATGTAATATTAAATTAAAAATGACTAAATTGGACGAGAACGGTTTATGGACCCATTCAGTAGCAATTTAAAATTCAGAAGTGTTTAACAGCAATTTACAACGAAGTACGAAAAAGAAAAAAAAATTCCTGCCAAGTTCCTGAATTCCGTTCCCCCCTCTCCGGCAAGGCCAAGCCCTCTTCCCTCGGGGGCTCCCCTTCTTGCCTGGGGGGGGGCGACCCTCCCGGCTGGATTGCCAGTTAACACACCTTCGCCACGAGTCTTGCTTCCCTGGAAATCAGTTTACAATGTCGCCACCCTCCCTTGATCAGCTCTGTTTAGGTCCGTCTTCCTAATCCATCTAGAAAGACACACACACATACATCAACCCCCCCTCAACACACACACACATTAAAAAAAAAGTAGCAAAAACAAGAGTAGCAGATGCTTTCAGGAACACTGGTGTTTAGAACCCTCAATTGACTTCGATTTACCTGGGGAAGAGAAGTGTTACAATCCAATTTCAAAGCTAGCTCTTCCTGTCCTAGTGAAATCTTCTCTGGGCAGCCTTCTGTGTTCACGCCTGTCGGAAGAAATCCTTTTTGTGAGCGAAAGGGAGCGAGACAATATATCACACTCCTGTGGCGGACGAGCCGCGCGCGCCTCTCTGCTGACAGATCGGCGCTGATAACCCGGCGATGTTCATTTCCAGTGCCTTGGCCCGCTGTAGACCGTATCAGTTTGTACACAGTTGTGCTCATCGTTTGGAGAAAGAAGAGGGGTGTGTGCGGGAGAGTGGGGGTTGGGACACGGTCTTTCGCGCTGGGTCGAGGAAAGGAACCCCCTTCCCTCCGCTTTCCAAGGTCTTACCTGCAGTGGAGGCAAAGCTCAATCGCAAACCACAAAACTCCCGACCTGTCCCAGGACAGAAGTTCATTCCCGGGGCCGCGGCCATGGGCGCACCTCGGAGGACCCCCAGTTTTAATGACCTCAAAGGTTTGCTGGGGCGTGTCATCGTGAACTTTCCTCAAACTGCCCAGGAATTTAGTATGTATTTAAAGATCAGGAGAGAGTTAAGGCGGCGGGGAGGGGGGAGGACGGGGAAGGGGGCTCTTACTTTTGATCGTAAGAACCCCGATCCCCGGACTGGCCCCGTGACCCAAGCCCTCAGGGTCCCGAGTTAGGGTTCCGTAAAGTTTAAGGTCGGGTACGTCGAAGCCAAGAACTCATTGAACCTGGAGGGAGGAATGGGGAAGGGCAACCGGGACAGGCACTTTTCCTCCACATTTTGGGGGCGCCCCCCTCTCCGCAGCCGCGCCCCAGCTTCTCTCCCTCCCCGTGTGTGTGTGTGTGTGTGTGTGTGTGTGCGCGCGCGCGCGTGTGCGCAACTGGGGGCGCGAGAGCGAGCCCCGCAGCTGGGGTGGGTGTGGGTCGCCAACCAGGTGTGGGCGTCCTGTCGCCTTCGTCCCTCCCCGGAACGTCCCCGAGTTGGACGTTTCTCCCCCCCTACTTCCCCGGGTGGATTCGATCCCACACCCCGCACGGAGCTAGCCGCGGGGCCCACGCCCGCAGGCAGCGCGGCCGCTCATTGTCTGCCCAGGCGACGCGCTCCCCTCCCCCGCCAGTCCCCTCCCCACCCTCTTTTCTCTCCTCCCCTCGCTCCCTCCTCCTCCCCCCTCCTCCTCCACCTCCTCTTCACCTCCGCGCCCAGCTGCTGGCTCCGCGCAGTTCCGACCCACAGCCTGGCACCCTTCGGCGAGCGCTGTTTGTTTAGGGCTCGGTGAGTCCAATCAGGAGCGCAGGCTGCAGTTTTCCGGCAGGGCAGTAAGAGGCGCCTCCTCTCTCCTTTTTATTCACCAGCCGTGAAGCGCAGACCCCGGACTCGCGCTCTCCCGCCGGCGCCCGCGGCCTCTCTCCGCGCCCGGGAGCGCCCAGCCCTCCGCCACGGCCCTTCACCACGCACAGCGCTCGCCCCAGGTTTGCCTGCGATTTTTTTCCCCTCCTTCCCCTTCCTTTGCCCTCTCCACCTCCAACCCGTCCCGGGCCCCTCGGCCTCCGGCTTTCCCGCCCGCTCCCGGCCGCGGCCGGCTCCGAGGGTGTCTCCCCCTTGCTTGTCCGGCTCCCCGGGAGACCCGACTGGCGGTGCCTCGTCCTCTCCCCGAAGTGCTTATCTGCGCACGGCCTTATCTCCGAGTTATCTCGGCGTCCAGGGGCGGGAGCCGATCGTCGGGGCCGCCCGAGAAACTTCTTCCTTGCTCTCTGGCCCCCCGGTCTGTGTATGTGTGTGGGCATTCATTTGAGCGTGGTTATGTCCGCTGAACCGGGGCGAGCTCGACAAGCCACCCCCCGAAAGGGGCCCGGTCCGTTGCCTTTGGCTGCCTCCCCACCCCCTCCAAGTCTCCCTGTCATTCTTCCTGCTCTCCCCTTTGGGGTGGCCTCACGCCCCCCCACCTCTGGCATTTCCCCCCTCCCTCCCCACTCCTGGGCTTTGCGCTCCGCTCCACCCCGCTACGTCGGATTCCGGAACGGTCGGGCCTTTCTGCGGCTGCGGATGACCGCGGGGTGCGCCGCGGTGGCCCGGCCGCCGCGCGCCGGTGCCGTTCCGATCCGGCCCGTGGCTTAGGTGCGCGTCCCGCGGCCGAGCCACCGGGGAGGGAGACTCCGGCCCCTGCCGGCTTCCCTCGCTATTTCTATTCAGAGCTGCCATCTCTGTTCCCCCCACCCCACCCCCGACACCCCAATTTCCTAGGGCTGGGCAGCATGATCTCTGGGGCTCGCATTCCAGCTGCTTACACCCCGTCCGGAAAGCTTTGGGAAAACGATTTTGTATTTTTTTAATGAAAAGCTGAGGTTTCGTTTTCGGGGACAGGTTAAAGTCTTCCTGGATCGCGATTCCCACGCGGGGGGGGACCATCCCCGCACGCAGCCCGTGCTCCGGGAGAGGGGGTCCCCGCGGGGGGCGGGGCAGCGTGCGACGGGGCCCCGCAGGGGGCTGCTCACTCCCCTTTGTGTAACGGGGGCGCCCTGGGGGCAGCCTCGCCGCCGCCCCTGGGATCTGCGGAGGAAGGATGCTGTCGAGGGGGTGGGTCGGGAAAGGGCGCGGGAACCTGAGCTGGGCGGACTGGCGAGGGCGCGGGGAGGGGGGGAGAGGAGGAGGTGTCCCGATCCTTCGAGGGACCCGATCGCTGGCTGCTTGATGGGACTCCATTCTCCCCATCTTAAAAGGTCTCCGTTTCCCCTCCCAACCCCACTGTGTCTCAGGAGCTAGACGTCAGTTTACCGCAGCAGCCCGGGACGGTGGATGGCCTTGACTGACGGCGGCTGGTGTCTGCCGAAGCGCTTCGGGACCACGGTTGCGGACGCCAGCGACTCGGGGCCCTTTCCTGCGCGGGAGCCCTCCACGCCACCTTCCCCCATCTCCTCGTCGTCGTCTCCCTGCTCCCGGGGCGCCGAGCGCGGGCCCTGCGCCGCCGGTCTCTGCAGGACGCCGCAGGACGACGGCGAGGCGGTGGCGGGACCCCCGGCCCGCTCGCTGCTGCTCAGCCCCTACGCGTCGCATCCCTTCGGGGCGGCGCACGGACCTGCGGCGCCCGGGGTCGCGGGCCCCGGGAGCGCTCTGTCGAGCTGGGAGGACCTATTGCTCTTCACTGACATCGACCAGGCCGCCACCGCCAGCAAGTTGCTGTGGTCCAGCCGGGGCGCCAAGCTGAGTCCCTTCGCCCCGGAGCAGCCCGAGGAGATGTACCAGACCCTCGCCGCCCTCTCCAGCCAGGGCCCAGCCGCGTATGACGGCGCGCCCAGCGGCTTCGTGCACTCCGCGGCCGCCGCGGCTGCAGCTGCAGCGGCCGCCAGCTCCCCAGTCTACGTGCCCACCACCCGTGTGGGTTCCATGCTGCCCGGCCTGCCCTACCTGCAGGGGGCAGGCGGCGCGCCCACCAACCACGCGGGGGGCGCGGCCTCGCACCCCGGTTGGCCCCAGGCCTCGGCTGACAGTCCCCCGTACGGCGGCG